TACATCATACCTCATTACAAGATAGAACCCATTTAAGAAAGTCACTGTCTCAAGGGTCTGGGGCTTGTACATCTTTCTCTGATTGGCATTCCAGCCACTGCTCCAGAGAGAGTCTTCATGATGTCATTTGGTGCAATTGAAAAACAACCAACTTGCCAAAAACCCCTGCGCACTAGCCTCTGAATGCTCACAATGAAGGGTTCCATGTCAAATTAGTTGGAGAAAAATTTTATACTGCATCCCCCTCTCTACTTCACAATGCGAGAGAAATCCAACTTCAAAGAAACCTACTTAACCTTTCAGCATTTCCCAAACTTTCTTTATATACACATAGTAATTTATTTCAGAGAGGAAGGGGGAGGGAGAGAGAGATAGAAATATCAATGATGACAGAGAATTATTGACTGGCTGCCTCCTGCACACTCCCTTCTGAGGATCAAGCTTGAAACCTGGGCATGTACGCTTAACTGGAATCAAACCTAGGACCCTTCAGTCTGCAGACAGACATTTTATCCGTTGAGCCAAACCACTCTTTCTTGACCACAGAACCGTTTTGCGTTTAAAACCATCAGTTTTACCTATAACATGTGCTGGTTTTATGGAATTAACTTTGAGAAACCCCACGTTTAAGGAATTAAGAAAAAATAAATTTATGAACAAAATTGGGATGCATAGGAAAAAATGTGCTTATGAGACAAACAATGTTTTCCCCCAGCCACCATCAATATTTCTCAAGGCAGATTAGGAATTTGAAAATAACTGCAATGCTATTTTTTATACCGACAACATGAGCCTTATTTTTAATTAAAATTTGGAAGCCTCCTATTTTTCATATAGGCTTAATATCTACTGAAATCTTGCTCTAACTTTCATAATAGTTGCTAGTACTTGACCATGTAGAGAAGTTGTATTTCCTACAGGGATGGGCTAGCGGGCTGGGCGGAGTACATTTCCTCTTTCTAGTGAAAGGGACTCTTTTAACCTCCCAATTATTCAGCCACAGTGGCCAAGATTGTCATGATGAGTGGAACAGAAGTAAAGTGATTTTCTAAAATGTCTTTGTAAAGGAATTTCTCTCAATTACCTACTGGAAACAAAGATATAATCACAGGTCATCAAGGGGCTAGCATTCAAGAGACATTTGGTGTGGTGCTCTACAAGAACAATTAGGCCAATTAACCCAAAATGGAAGATAATTGGTCATTGAAATTGAGATAAGAAGTGTGTTTTTCCTAACACAGCACATGACTTAGCAAAATGGTTATTCTGTCTCTAAAATAATTGCTCCTTTTTTTTTTTTTTTTTTTTTTTTTTCTCTCTAAGCTTTAGAACTACTTCTATGGTAGTGGTTGCCACCATATGTATGCTCTCCATGAGAAAGATGTTTCGTTTTCCTTTGCTGGACACTATTTTTGGTTAATTTCTGTCTCCTTTATGAAAGATATACTGTGCCCTAATACTGCTGTTAAATGCAGATGTAATGGCATAGACAAGACTAATAACTATGATAGAGTAATTATGATATAAAATTAGTTACAATCAGTAGTTGCAGAAAGAGAGAGGGAGAGAGGAGAAGGAAATAGTGAAGAAAGGAAGGAACAAAGGAAGGAACAAAAAAAGGAAGGCAGGAAGGAAGTGTTAGAAATAAGGTGAGCCCCATAAGTCAGGGGTCCTGGTAGAACACAAAACATACTTGGGAGCCAGGCAGCAAGGCAAACATCTTTACTTCTACTCAGAAGGGTACACACACATGGTCAGGAAGCACGCACACCAAGCAGCCATCCGCTCAGATTTATAATCCCTTAAACACGTCATTAGTCCTTTGCTCTTGATTGGAGTTCAGGCACACAGTCTCTCATGATTGGCTAATTCAAAGGGAGGGGTGGGCCTCTGTTGTTTCAAGGTGGCAGCCCTCAGGGAAGGTGCAAGCCATGTGGCCAGCATGACAGTTGTCAAGTCACGCAGTTCAAAATGGTGGTTATCTAAACTGTTCCTTGTCAAAAAAAAAAAAAAAAAAGACTTGTTTATTCTCACAGGAAAGGAGGAAGGAGGGAGAAAGGAAGGGGAAGAGGGAGGAAGACAAAAAAAAAAAAAGGCATTGGCTGTTCCAGGGGACCAATGAGACTTAGGGACTGAAATTCCAACAATAACCTCTTTCTGAAAATGAAATGTGTATTTAACTTACTTTTTCTGAATTTCTACCATCAATTCTGCTAGTAAGTCATTTCCAGGTGTGCTTGACACTTGCCATTGTTTTATTGAGTTTGGCCTGAAGTCCTGGCTGAGCAGCATGGCCTTGAAGTTAAACATTTCTAACTTCCAACTTCATCATGTAGTATTGTCTCAGTATTTTAAGTATATAAGTAAATTTTATACCATCAGCAAAGAGAAAAATTTGTCTGTTTTTCCCATCACTTATAAATGTGATCTTTCTACAAAGTTTTATTTCAACCTGGAATTGGCACACAAGAAGAAATTCATGAGGAAAAGAAAGGGAGTCAAGTTGAAGCTAGATGTTATCTTAATGCTATTTTTGAGAGCTTCAGACATTTCAGTGTTACTTTTAAATGCTGTGATGAAGGACCATCTTGGTACTACAACTCTTGAAGAAGTTTAGTAAAACACACACACACACACACACACACACACACACACACACACTCACACACACACAAACACACTGGTCCAGGAATACTTCTGCTTCTGAAATTTGCCTGCAGATAAGCTCAAATAAAGGATACTTCATTCATACAGTGTTATATTATTCATCCATAAGAAAATGAAGTGGATCTGCACAGGCAGATATGGAAGGAATCCAAGCTGTATTAAATGAAAAGAGCTGAGTCTAAAAGTGTGAAACGTATTCTCCCAACTGAGTAAAATATATGTATATACACACATGCATGTATATATACTTGCTTTCATATACCTAGAAAACCTCTAGCAAGATGCTCTAGAAATATTGTCAGTGGTTTACTCTGAAGCATAGGAGTAAGGTAGTTCCAGGGTCCAGAGAGACTGACTTGATTTTCCTGCATGTTAGTATTAAAGTTTTATCACACGTATATATTCATTTTTCATTTTTAAAATCTAGATAATCTTAAATTATTATTAAAAAGAATATTCCAGGGCTAGAAACCAAAAGTGATATTGGGGGAGAGGAGGGGAGTAGAAAGGAGAAAAAGAGAAAAAAATATATTATAGGATAATTTTACAAAAGTGTTTTTAGCCAAGATATCCCAGTTGCTTCCTTACACACCCGTGCTAGATATACATCATATAAGGAGAATGGTCACCAGAAGATTGCTCTCCAGGAAGTGAAATTCAGACTCATTCCATGAAACTTGGAGCAGATACACAACAGCAGTTCTAAAGGAGAATGGATACTGGGAATCTGGCTACGAAGTCAGTTTATTCAAAAATATCACTTTGGTGATCTCTCTGTCAATGTAAGCAATTCAACTGACCACCCAAAACCCTCTAAATAGAACATTCTATATACATAAGTGTTTTTAAAATTTAAAAATAATAATGTTAATCTTTCCAGCAAGAAGCATTGTGTTTATTTCAACAAATTTAAAGGTGAAATAGGAATTAGGTGAGCATGTTTTTGTGTGGACCTATGTCACGGAAAATTTAGTGGAAAAATTTAGGGATTTTTCTTAGAAGTCCCTATTGTTCAGCCTGGGTTCTACACTAGCCAATTTAGCAAACTGATTGAAAAAAAAGTTTATATTTGAAAATACAGATTTTAACTAAATTTTGTTTTGTTTTGTTTTTAAGAAATGGAGGGAGGAAGAAAGGAAAAAAGGCAATTGGTTTCTGAAACTTAATTACTAATTTTTAAAGGACATTAATTTAAATAAAAAAATAGTTGGCAGCTGATTTGCTGGGTCTTTATTTTATTAAGTTACTCAGATTGGGAAAATATAAGTAATACAGCCAGCTATTTTTTTCTCTTAACACTATTGACAGAAACAATAATGAAATAACTTGATCTTACTGTACAGACTTAATTATAATCTTTAAAATGCACAACCCAGCTCCAAAGTAGTTAATTGATCTTGCTGATATGTTAACTAAAATAAAGTGCTCATATTGTAACCAGACAGCTTCCGTCCTGGGTGCTAGCCCTGGACCTTTCACAGGTCAAGGACCTTTCACAGATCAAGCAAGCTATAGGCTCTGGCTCATTCAAGAAAATTTTCAAGACAGGAGTCCAGGTGAAAGTGACAGTAAATTTATTAACATTAGGGACAGTGAGGCAAAGGAAGGACCCCTGGAGATAGAATTGGAGGGTGGGGAGTAAGACCAGGATGAGCTGACACTGCCCATCGCTCCCCTAGGTCCAGGTCTTGTTGGTACCCTTAGAGCTTAGGATAGAAGAAACAAATACATGCCTGAAGACAGCGGGCATGGATGCACTCAAAGAAGCATGTGCTGCCATCCTTTGTCCTGAGTATTTTATCTATTTTCTACAGGCCAGAATTTTAGAGGAGGTCCCAGGGAAGGATCTCAACAGAAAACTCATTGGATTTCCGGGTGTGTTGTTTAATATGCTGATGTATTAAAATGAGTATATAATGGCGTCTGGGGTCATTTTCTAGTTAGTTTTGCCTTTATCTTGGATTAGTCTGGCTCTAATTGGTTTTGTTATCTACTTCCCTGACTGTAGTGATTTAAACCATCTGCTCTTAGCCATCTTTAGTTAGGGAGATAGGGTTTTATGATTTATTACAGAGCCATTCTGGCAGTTTGTTCAGCCATTTGTGTGTTTGTTCAGCCATTTGTCTCAGTTCCTCCATTCACTTTCCAGGGAATGTTCCTAGTTTCTTAACCTGCCTCAATCTGATGAAAATTTAATTGTCAGTAATTACAAAAAGCTGGCATGTTTTTAAACATATGTATGCTGACATTGGAATTATTCAAGAGTATATGCACTGTTTTAAGAAAACAATTCGTTGAGTATTAACAGGACATTCATTTTCGTTCTCCTATAGAAAGCCAGACTCGCCAGGATACGTGCAGCCAAAAGCGGAAGTGCAAATGCTTACATGCAAAGTAAACGGAATGGTTTGCTCAGTAATCAACTGCAGGTACTGTCAAGCAACTCACTTTTTTTAATACTCAATTTGTTTATGTAATATTGATTTATTTCTATTTAAGCATGTAATTTTATTGTGGGTAATTGTGAAAATAGCTACCAAAACAACAAAAGTGTCATTTTTAAATAACCTCTCCCTACAGTCATTGATGGTAGCAGATTAGAAACTGGGCTATGAAATATTGCCAGTGAATCATGATTCTAATTTGTGTTGGGCAAGATTTTTACACACTCGGATGTAACCACATATGATGTTGTGATTTCTAATAAGAAATATATATTTGGTCTTCTTCCTGCTTCTGTCACTGAACTCCTACATTTCTGGAATTTCCTAAGAGAGGAAAGTTAAAAAGATGTCTTTTGTTATGATAATGAGGTGACTTCAGGACCTCACCTAAGGTTGGTGGCTGGGTGCCAGGGGAACCAAGTGATTGGAGGGTTGGAACTTTCAGGCCCACCCAACCTCCTGGGAATGGAGAAGGGTTTGAGATTGAGTTCAATCACCAAAAGCCAATTATTTATTTACTCAGTCATATCTAAGGAATGAAATCTCCATAAAAACTCAAAGGAAGGAAGTTTGGAGAGCTTTCTGGTTAGGTGACAGGTGGAGATTTCATTGCCAGTGGAAATGGGGTCCTTTCACAGAGTTGCAAGAAAGGCATTTTCAAGGACCCACGTATGGGAGGCTAAGATGTAGTGGTAAGATTTATTGGAATAGAAATAGAAGGCTGCGTGAGGTTCCTGGTGTCTCCTTTTTGTTCATCCCACTGTGGGAAAAGTCCAGCCTTGTTTTCATCAAGCCCAGAAGAAAGGCCAACATCCAAAAAGTCTGCACCATTGGTTACTCTAGTTTAGCCTTTGTCCCTGTCCAGCTAGTAGCCTCTATTCCCTGCAGTGCTTCAGCTGATGCTGCAGTACTATATCCAGGCTTGCAGTTGGAACCCCAGCTTGGAGCCCTCAGTTGGAGCTCACCTTGGAGCCCTCAGGCAGCTGCTAGCCCACATGGCTGCTAGAAGAGAGAAAACATGAGCACATGAACCCACAAATGTGTGTTGCAAGGCAGGAGTTGAGAGAAAGCTTGACTTTTTAAAGCTTGGATTATATTATCTCAGGCTTAGGAAGGACCAAGCACTCTTTCAAAATAACCAATCAAATTACCAATTCTTTGTCAGCTTGTCCTCCTCCTAACCAATCCATTTCTTAAATCTTCTGGGGTTCTGTGTCCCTCATCCAATTGAATTATTTTCCCAGGTGAGGATCTGCCCTTTATGACCATCTTAGTTTTTACTGTGCATTCTTCATAGTGGAAGCCCCCCCCCCCCCCCCCCCGCACCATCTTGGCTTCTACTGAGCATGTGCCCAGCAGAGGAATTTGCCCTTTGTTGTTCAATTACTTCTCCACCCCTTAGTCTGGACAAGTAGGCTGGTTGTACCCTGAGGAAAGCTAGTCCTTCCACCCAATACAGGAAAGGGAGAGGTGTTAATCCCATTGGTGGGTAATGCTGTGATCCCCTGGTGTGCCTGGAGCTGTCACTTCCAGACTTCATTAGACTTATTGTCCAATTTAGCTACCTGGTTTATTAGGCATAATGGATGTCTGATTCAGCTTCGTAGTTGATTAGGTTTCTTAATTTCTGATTCCCTTTGCTCCATTCCTTTATTAATATCTAGCTATTTATGCTCGCAATCTGAGAGATTGGCACACTCAGAGAACCCAGATGCCCTCGCCCTTTTCACATATCTTGCCTTATGCATCTCTTCCACTTAGCTGTCCCTGAGTCACATTATATGCTTTTATAATAAACCATTAATCTAGTAAGTAAAATGTTTCTTTGAGTTTTGTGAGCCGCTCTAGCAAACTAATCAAACTCAAGGAGCAGATTGTAGGAATCTCTGATTTATAATCAGTTGATCAGAAGCACAGGTAAACTGCCCCACTTGCAATTGGCATCTAGAGTTCAAGGAGAGGTCACCAGAACCTCTAACCTATAGCCAGATGGTCAAAAGCCCAGCTGATAATTTAAGTCTGATAATTTAAGGTGGGGAGAGGAGCGTGAAGGACAGTCTTGTAAAACTGAGCCCTCAACCTATGTAATATGATGCTTTTTTCAGGTAGACAGTGTCCAAATTGAGCTGAATTGTAGGACGCCACTAGTGTACAGACCAGGTCACTGCTTGATTGTGTTGAGGATAACCCCCGCCACTTCAGAGTTGGCTTTAGAACCCTTTTTACATGGGAATGGTAAAAAATGCTCAATGATTCAAATACCTAATTATTTTTTATTTAAAAATTACTTATGTTCCTTAAAGTTCATACGAGTGGGAGTAGGGGATGGCATGATGCCTCCTTTTATTTTTTTAATGGAAAGGGAACACCACGTAGTGTCATAAATATCATACAGTATGAAATACAATTTGAGAAGTCATTTTTAGCTCAAAACTCTGTTCTCATATTTAGGATTCCAATAATTGTTACTTTCAAAATAGCTTTTATTTAGATGAGCATAATGCCATTTCCAAGATTATCTAAATATTAGATTAAATTTTACTACCCAAAATTAATGGCTCTCAGGTTCTTAAAGTTAAGTGGTAGTTGAAAGAGTAGAAGAGATTTAAATTTTCTGTTCAGGGAGGCAAGTCTAAAAAACCAGACTGATAATTTGAAAAAAAAAAAAAAAAAAGTAAATAATGATTCTCAGACTTAAAAGCAACTGCCAGGCTGTGCCTTCCTATCTAAAATAAATAATAATAAAATGCTGACATTTAATCTCAAGATTCTGCAGTTGAGGTAATCATTGTTTGCAAATAAGATAGAAAAGACTCTGTCTTCTCTGTGTTCACAGTCCTCTGAGGACGAGCAGGCCTTTGTCAGCAAATACGGCTCCAGCTTTGAAAGCCAGCACCACCACCTGCTTCACTGCTTGGAAAAGACCACGGTAAGGAACCAGCATCACTGCCTGCCTGGTCCTCACAGTACTCCCATTTGCTTTTATAAATACGTACTCAGTCCTCCTTGGAAAGATTGCCCTGCCCGCAACATTGGTAAATAGAATAAAAGACAAAAACGAAAGAAAACAAAAGATGAAATTACTTTGAAAGACTGTTGTGACATTTCCATTTGGAAAGTGTTTGAGAGACTTATTAAAATGTAATCCTTAGTGGCTATTCTCACTCTAGTCTAAAATACTAGTTTAATGTGGATGGACAGTTGTTTTCCAATAGCCAACTGCAAGTCCTATAAAACATCTTTTACCCTGCCCAGCCAAGGTTGTTCAGGGGTTGAAGATTGCCCCATGCACCAGGAGGTTACCAGTTCAATTCCTGGTCTAGGTATAAGGCCAGGTTTTGAGTTCAGTTCCCAGTAGGGGGTGTGCAGGAAACAATCAATGATGTTTCTTTCTCATCAATGTTTCTATCTCTTTATCCCTCCCCTTTCCTCTCTCTGAAATCAATAAAAACATGTTTTTAAAGTGTAATTTACCCTGATTTTTTAAATGCTAATTAAATAGAAAAAAATAATGAAGTTCAAGTGTTCCTGACATCTGGATGAAAGGGATATCAATAGCAATAATACAAAATAGAGAATGACTAAATAGAAGCATTTCTTCTTTTTAAAAATATGTTTTTATTGATTGCAGAAAAGACGGGAAAAGGAAAGAGAAATAAAACATCAATGATGAGAGAGAACCATTGATTGGCTGTCTCTGCCCCCTACTGGGGATCTAGCCTGCAATCAGGGCATGTGCCCTTCACTGGAATCAAACTTAGAACCCTTCAGTCCACAGGCCAAGGCTCTACCCACTAAGCCAAACCAGCTATACCGGTTCTCAACCTTCCTAATGCTGCGACCCTTTCATACAGTTCCTCACGTTGTGGTGACCCCCAACCACAAAATTATTTTTGTTGCTACTTCATAACTGTAATTTTGCTACTGTTATGAATTGTAATGTAAATATCTGTGTATTCTGTTAGACTTAGGCTCTACAGACCGCTAGCAGGGGTCTCATTTTAATTTTTTTTTTTTTAACTGTTTTACCATTTAGGGCTTTTTAAATAAAAAATTATTTAATGCCAATCCAATATAGTTTAAATTGAGCTGCCAATAAAAATGCATGGAAACCAGCGGCAGAATGAATTCTTCACTTCCAGTCACTGAGACAAATTGGAACCTTGTGCACTGTAACTTCCATTATGTGTTGAGATGTGCACTGCCAGGGAAGAAAACAGAGTTTGGATCCTCAGTGAACTATATTTTTTCTAGAAATTTAATAGTTAACATAAAACTCTATCTTCTCTACACATATTTTTTCTCCGACTTTCAACTGTAGAATGTTAAATTCCGTTTACTTCAAAATGCTTGTCTCAGCAAAGAAATGACAAAATGAGTAACTAAAACAATCTATTTCCTATTAGCCAGTGAATTGCTTCAATTGTTTTGCTAATGGTTAGGCTGAGAGATAGTTAAGTGGAATTCTGCATGTGCAAAGTCTCTCATTATAAGACTATTCCCAGGAACACAAAGAAAAAAATAGTAATTGAAGTCATTTTTTAGTAGCTTAAACCAAAAATATTTTCCTTTGACTGTGGTAAAAGTCTTCCATAAGCATTTTAGGAAACAAAGCTTGGCTTTAAATATCTTTAAAGCAAATTTTACACCGTGTAAGATGGAGAATATGAAATTATTTCCATCACTATTTGATTCTTGGTTAGAACCCTAAACACAGGTAAAGATTCTGAACACACCTAGTGATGTATCACAAAGAGAAGAAAGGAGACCCGGGAAGTTCAGTGCTAACCCTTTCTGAATCAGACATAAAGTGGCACATTTTGCAGATAAATATGTTGTATTTGTTTAACTAATAAGTCATACATTTGTCTCCACCTAGGATTTTATAGGAACATCTAAAGAAATGGGAAGTGTCCTAGGTACCTTATTTTCTAATTTTAAAATGTTTTCAGTTCCATGTGAAAATATTTGATTTTATATAATAGACATTCTAAATTGGATTAAAATAGTTTCTTTTTTCTAATTCCAATTTGTTTAAAAATTTAAAAAGTCAATGTGAATTTACACATTTTTGTGGGTGTTATCTATATTCATTTCCAAGTTTTGTTCTTTAGTTTATGATCTCCAGTTTAAATAAATAAATGATATTTCAAGATAAAGTTCGCCTATAAATAGATACCACATCAGCCTTCATGTGTAACTAGAGAGACGTTATTTTCCCACAAATGCCAGTATTAGGTAGTTTTGATATTCTAATCTTTATAAAAATGGTATTCGTTGTCCATTGCAGAGTCTACATGTACATGGACATTGTTTTGGTTTTAAAAATTAGGCTATTTGTTTGCTTTTTGAAAGTTAAAGTTTCTGTCTTTCTTCACATTTTCTTCCACCTCTGGAACAGAATCACGAGTTTGTGGATGAACAGATGTTTGAAGAAAGTTGCATGGAGGTTTCGACTGTTCATCATCCTTCAAGTCATAGTCCCTCTCTCTCCTCACAACAAGGAGTCACTGGCACTTGCTGTTCCCGACGACACAAAAAAACTTTCCGCATCCCAAGTGCCAACGTATCAGGAAGCCATCGGGGCAGTGTGCAAGAACTCAGTACCATTCAGATCAGATGCGTGGAGAGAAACCCGCTATCTAACAGGTAGATCAATCTGTGTGGACACACCCTGTGCTGGTCCCAGAGCACATCTCCACCTGCAGCTGTGTTGCTACATGGGTGGCAGCTAAATCCTAGTTCCTAGGGTTTAGAGTGAGACAAGACTTAGACTGTCACAAGCAGGAAAATGGATCTATTGTAATATTCCTTGAGTCATAGAGTAGCTGCAGCGATATTAAAAGAGCAGAGAACAGATAAGACAGGCAGGCAACCACAAATGTATTTCTACCTCTTCAATTCCATAGCTGTTTCCTATTTGAAGAGACACTTATATCCCCAGGAGCCCCATAGGTAAAAACAAATTGCTTGAAATGATAGTTAACACTGCTGAAAGAGACCAGTGAAACTGACATTGATATGATTAAAGAGTATTCAGCAGCACCTGTAAATAAATCAACAGTCACTGTGACAGTAAAAACTGAAACTATAGCTACACAAATATTTTGAATCAGAATGCAATTTTGATCAAAAAAATATTTTGGTCACAATAAACACAAAAATAAATCCAATTCAAAGAAAGATAAGTGAAATGCTAAACTGGTTATGTCTAGTGAGTTTATGGACAATTGAAGTGACATTTTCTATTAGTATTTTCCTTTTGTTTCTCTTTATTTGCTTGCTTTTACAAGTCATTAAAAAATCTATTTGGCCCAAATAATTTTACTTTGTTCTTCAAATGAAATAGCTTTTCTTTTTAGAGTAACAACCATTCATTCAGTGCCATTTCTTTGTTGGTATCCAGTAATTTTTGTGGAAAACCTGGATGAGATTCTGAATCCGGGTTATGTTGATTTACATCAATCAGATATCTCTGGAACCAGAATATTAAATGTTGGAGCAATGAAAGATTTCTGTCTCAAAGATATACTACCACTCCAACATAGAAAATGGAGAAGTGCTTAGAAATAAATTTTTAGGACACAAACATTTAAATTAAGTTTTCGATGAAAATAAAATAGTTTGAAGTTTCCATGTATGTCCTCCTTCCTCCTTTCCCCTTCCTCACCCCCACTCCCATTTAAAATATTAAACTCAAGAATACCTTTAAGTATTAGTAATAGCAAACTCTTTGGGATTCTTAACATTTGGGTGTTACTAAGTTGAAAACTTTAAGGGTACCCTATAGGGACAAGATAGTGAAATGATCAAATATTTGAGGGATATATCCCTTTGATAATCTTATCTCAAACCTCTCAGAGATTCTGTCAAAGAAAACTATTTTATTTTGCACAACTCAGTGTTTCAAAAACCTACCTGATCCTGTTTCTTAAATTTTTATATAACATTTTGTTTGAAAAACACTGATGGAATAAAATTTAATTGGTTTTTACACATTCATTTATGATTAGGGACCCGACTAATGTTCCCTTTAACATACAAAGTGGGGTAAACATAGGTTTGCCGTTGTATGTGAAACACAGAGTTTCATTATTATTTATTAACTAGAAACCCAGTACATGAATTTGTGCACAGGTGGGGTCCCTTGGCCTGGCCAGTGGTCAGGGCCAATTGGAGCCATCTTGTCCAGTCCCAATGGGGCTTTGGGGCTAGTAGGCCAGGGGGAGGGACCATGGGAGGTTGGCTGTGGGAGTGCACTGACCACCAGAGGCAGCTCCTGTGTTGAGCATCTGCCCCCTGGTGCTCAGTGCTCATCATAGTGACCAGTTGACCATTCGTTCAACCAGTCCTAAGGGTCTCTTAGGCTTTTATATATATATATATATATATATATATATATATATATATATATATATATATTCCCATGGTAAATAATATATGTATTATTTACCATGGGAAAAACTGTAGACCTACTTTTGCCCACCTTGTATGTTAAGGTTTTGGTGCTTCCTTTTTTAAAATTATGGCTATTATTCTTAGATATCTAAAAAGTCATTAAATGACATTATATACACCTCTATTGCAGGCAAAACATTTTTAAGTAAACAACTTACCTTCTTAAATCTATTTTCTTCCCTCATCAGCCGATCCAGTTTAAATGCCAAAATGGAAGAATGTGTTAAACTAAACTGTGAACAACCTTATGTGACTACAGCAATAATAAGCATCCCAACACCTCCAGTAACCACTCCCGAAGGAGATGACAGGCCAGAATCTCCCGAGTACTCAGGAGGAAACATTGTCAGAGTGTCTGCTTTGTAGACAGTTGGAATCAGGTCTAGGGGAATTTGAGCCCTGGCTGTGGAGAGAATTCCAATGTGGAAGAAAGAAGACAAGATAAACATTTTGCAGCTGGAAATGGCAAAGCAAGAAGGTTGGTAGTGACATAAAAGCAAAGCCTCCAAACTAGAGGATGGAAATAAAACCAACAAATGGCATTTCTTTAGAGTCTGACCTGTTGTACCGAGGAATAGTCTGTGGCCCTTTGGCTTTGTGAATGAGCACAATGAAATGCCGCCTATTGATGCTTCTTATGACCAGAACTCTTTTATAATAAAATAAAATAAATCTTTGAACCTAATGTTCCAGTTGAATGCAAAACAATAAAAAAAAATATGGAAAACATTTTGATAAAAATTTTTCCTGTTAAAACCATGAACATTGGCTATGATGAAGATTATTGCATATTGACAAATTCACGCAACACATTTGTATTAACTGAAGGAAACCATCATAATGCATGCTAGAATTCTTTGGAATAGTGATCTCAGTTTCCTTATGTTGTCTTCAGAATAGGCATGATAAACTATAAATGTAGAGAGGGGGAATTTCTGTGCACTCGCTACAAGCTGGATATTCACGTCCCACGGTGGGCTGTGCAAATAGACTCCTGTTGGACCTGCAGCATTTCTCATGGGGATGCTCAATAATAAATCTGAAGTGTGCAGATAGTGCAGTATTATCATTTTACCTTGCACCTAGATACTGTTACAACTGCAATAATTCATCATACACCTGTTGTATCAGGAATCGGGATTTTGTTGTGAGACTTTCCAGATTTTCCTAAATTCTGTAAGAGCCACATTCATAGAAAATTGTCTAGCGTGGCCAAATTTTAGATAACTTTTTAATGCCAACCTCTTGTGTCACACATGTTTCTCAGTAATATTCTTTGATCCACTGTATCCCCATGACAGTGTATTTCTTGTTCCTGTGCTAACCTTTCTTTTGGATTTATTGTCTTCAACTGGACTAATGTTTTGTAGTTCAATAGACTTTCCTATTTTTGTATTCCCCAACAAATCATCTTGTAAGTCAATTATCATCAAGAATCCTCTCGTCAAAAATTAGGAAAAAGGAGTTTGCATCCATGAATTATTTCTAACCTCTTTGCTGTCATGGAAAAGCCCAATTATTGGATATAGTACTGTATGTTTCATACAAAGAGCTGGCTGGGACTATTATCACAGGATCAATGATCCCAGAATCTCACTTATGTATTATTTATTTTGCTTTAGATCTGGAATACATTTTGAGAATAACTCATGTGAATTGAAATGCAGAGATAAACTGAAGTGCTTTGTGTAACAATTTTTGGTGAAAGCATGCTTTCTAGGCCACTGGAAAAGCAACCTAAGTTTATCTCAGAAAGGTTCCTGTATATGGCAAGGAGTCATTTTCTCCACTAAGTCAGGAGGACAGGAGTTTGATGATGCAAAGTTGATCTCTATGTACATTTCAGTAAAAAGTCTCCATACTTTTTCACCTTTAAAATATATCAGCAGACATGTCTGCACGTGACAGTGTAAAAATGTTTTATGTCAAATGAGAAGTTTTGTTTATTTGAAACCACCAGTATAAGGAATGAAGTTTAGCTTCCATACATGGAACGGATTCATAATTATCCCTCTACTGTAGAGATTTTTAAATGCTTATCATAATTTATCATAAAAAGGAATTAATCTAACTATTTTCCAGTGAAGCCAGAGATTCTTGCTTCCCATTTCTAGAATTGCTTCTAGAACAATGCTGTGCACACAGTAGATTTTAATAAGCATTTGCTGAGTGAAAGGAAGACAAACTCTTCTCCCTCTTGGGAAGAATTGCCTTTATTTATAGAATGTCTTTTAAAAAGTTACTAACCTTTCTGGAGTGTGAATACTAACGATTATATTAACACCTGCCTCATGCCACTTTATGCTTCTAGAGCAAATATATAGTGAAACTTCTTTGATGACATTTGTTGAAAATCTTTTTAAAAACTAGACTAAAGAAACCACCATCAAGAATACCTAGGTCTTTTGATTCCCAATGAGAAGTTCTATTTTCATGTTCTGGATATTACATTTAAAAAATGCAGTTCAGTTAGATTAGTATTTCAGTTGACAGTTCTGCCTCCTTTTCAACTTATCATTTATCCCAGACTGTTACTTTGTTCAGACTTTTTGGAAAAGAAAAAGAAACTTTTTGGTGTTTTAGGTGATTTCAAAATATACTGTGTTGGTGGTGAATGACTCTTGATGACTGTGTTAAGTGCATCTGTATTGTAAGTGAAATGTAATTATTTCTGTGTGCCATATGGAGTAACCAAGGTCATTGTTTTTGGCAATTTGGTTTGAAACTCATATGTCTTTATTTTAAAGGGTAGCCTACTATCTGCATTATGCTGGAAAAGTAGACCTTTGGAGAATACTTAAATAAAACATGTGCATGCTTGAACAGGATGACATGGCTGGCTGTTGCCCTTTTTTTTCTTAGACTTTCTCCTTTTCCAAAACCTAAAATGTGCCACACTCTTAATACGTATCTAGGAGAACTCTGTAACATGTACTCCAGGAACCCATCAATTGCTACAGTTAAATCTAGTCTAAACCAGCAGAGAGAGTAGTCTGCCAACAATGGGAAGTTAGGCAGTTTTGTTAACAGCATTTAAAGATAAAAAGAGTGTCACTGCTTTCAATGGTTGTTTTTGGAAATATCTTAGAAACTCCAACTCCATAGCTACTAATTATGATAATTTAATTTTGTTGCAAGATTTTATTGGTCATTAAAAAAAAGATGTAGTATAGTTAAAAACATGTGGTGTGTTATACATGATACTATCAAATAGGGTGCTCTCTGCAGGGTGTGACCCACAGTATTAGCCTGTACCCTATAAGCCACTGGCTTCTTACACAGTGTGGGCCAGAGAGGAAGCTGCTGCCTGAACCTTATAAACTCCTTGACCAGCACTAGTTAAGTTTATGAGGTAATAACTTTGGTCAGAATTCAATATATTTTTAGTCAAAGTCTCTTTTCTATCTAAGAAAACAGACAGGGTGATTTATTTTTTTGTGTATATGTGTCTCTGTAAATATATATATATGTAATATTCATACACATACTCATAGGTTTGTATTCATTTTTTTTAAATATGAACATACTGATGGTTGGTGGCTTCTCTCCAGGAAGAGACAAAAAATAAAAAATAAAAAATTTTTAAAAATGTTACAAGATAATTAGAACAAAACAGAGTAAACCATCTAGTAAAGACAGTGATTTTAACTAGTCCTTCTGTTAGATAGTCCCTATTTTTTTTCCTTTATTAATTCTTTTTGCTTATGGGCTTTGATTTTTTGAGATGTCAATCTTGCATTAAAAAGATTCAATATACCTCCCTCTTCCTTCAGCTTAGCTACAATGTGGACTTGGAAAGAGCCTCCAGAGAGTTATATTAATGTCTGCCAGCAACAGTGCTCCAAAGGATAAAAAATGGTTCTTGCTATCAAATAAATGACTTATCAGAAATTCACAAGAAATGCAACTCTTCCTAGGGTGTTAATAGCTGTTTATTTTATTAACTCACAGATATGAAAAAGGGTTGGTGCTCTGTACAGTTTAAACTTCATCAGAATTTTCAACACAATTGTGCAAACACACTCTATTTAAAAAAAAAAAAAAGTTTAGATTTCTATCTACCTATGCTGGTAGTATTTAGAGCAGCTAAACATTCTCTAAAGAGAAAGATTTTTCACTTGTGAAAAATAATTACTTTATTGGAATTATTATTTTTGAATAGCACATTAGCTTAAGATAATTAAATAATACTAGAAGCCCAGTGCACAAATTTATGCACCAGTGGGGTCCCTTGGCCTGGCCTGCAGGATTGGGCTGAAACTGGCTTTTCAACATCCCCCAAGGGGTCCTGGATTGCAAGAGGGTGCAGGCCAGGCCAAGGGACCTCACTGGTGCATGATCAGGGCAAGATCAGGGAGGGATGTGGGAGGTTAGCCAGTGGAGAGGGACCACTGAAGGGCTCCAGGATGTGTCTAACCCATCTCACTCAGTCCCAGTAAGCCAGATCCCAGCAGCAAGCTAACCTACCAGTTGGAGCATCTTCCCCCTGGTGGTCATTGCTTGTCATAGCAAGCAGTTGAGCAACCTTAGCATATCATAAGCATATTATGCTTTGATTGGTTGAATGGCTGGATGGATAACTGGACCTTCAGTCTTTAGGCCAACGCTCTATCAACTGAGCCAAACATGTTAGGGTATTGTCTCCATTTTGAAAAAGCCTGCCAAGATGTGCAAGCAGTTGGTCAGGGCTGCAGTAATAGCCGCAGCACAGAGTTGACCCATAGTCCAAGTCCTGGAGCTCTTTCTCACGAAAGAGAAAGATTTTGGAATTAGGTCAAAACTACAATTACCACTCTTAATTATCTTTTATATCTTCCTCAAATTATGGCAGGCAAAAAGTCTGTAGCACAACAATGGCACTTAATAACATGCAAAATAAGATTCAGATAGGCAATGCAATGGCATAATTCAGTGCCTCAAGTTAATATGATACAATAAAAATTTCTTAGATTTTAGATTTTTTTTCACCCTCACAAAGAATTCCAAAATTTTTCTGTAAGTTGTTGATATTTTTATTTGCTCTTAATAAAATGGAAAGCTTCCCTAAAGGTATAAACATAGACATCTGATTTACACAGAACTGTAAAAAATTTAATGTACCTTTTAAAATGGTACTTGGGGTATAAGTACTTGTCATAAAACTTCTTCCTTGTGTTTCATCGTTTGCTTGTTTTATGTTCCATGTAGCACTGGCCTATTAATAATATCTTTTTACCTTTCACCTCAATGTTTCTTTTCTTCTCAAAAGGCAAATGTGTTTATCACAAGTATTAATGTTGTGTCCAAAACTTCTTTCACATAAAAAATTAAGGTGCAGTTATGATTTTTAAAAATATATAAAAAATTTAATATTACTTATGGTTTAT